TTTTTTACATTTAAAACTATTTTCTAATTTTATGAACTGATTGTCTAATTTATGTTTCGAATAAATGCTAAATCTAACGTTTCTATGTAATTTAGAAATGGTAGTTTCTAGTTTTGTAGTAATATATTTTCATAGAAAATACAAAAATGTTTCAACACCGAAGCTCTTCAGATTTACTTTACATTTAAATTTTCTAAATTTCAGATGAATAAATTTAATTTTATCATACTCCTATATTCAATTATATTTTTGAAAATTCAATGCGCCGGAAAACTCATTCACGTTGACGTAAAAATTAGAGATGATTGGAAAGAAAATCGAGAATTTATTTATTTAAAAGATGTTGAAATAAAGGATCGTTTTGTGTTGAAAGCTATTGAAAAGACAAATAATAAACATGACGGCTTTAATAAAAATATAGAAGGATATTTGCGAACAATTGAATTAAATCTAGATAAAAATATGTTTGAAGTTGAAATTAATGATGAATCAAAATATATTCCATCTGATCAATTAAAAAAGAAAATTTTGATTGAAATTACTAATAATGAAACAATTCAAAATTTTCTGCCAGGGTTTGAAAAAATGGTATATGTTTATTAATATAATTTTCATTCCAAAATGTAAAAACTAACACAACTAACTACAGGGTGCGGCAAATTTAGCGCCGACTTTGTTTTGGCTATAACTTTTTTAATTTTAAACGAAAATTAATAATTCTTTTTTTCCTGGATTCCCAACACTTTAGGAAACTTGTTGATATCAAGAATTGAAAATTTGGTCCACTGAGAGGAAAGAAAAACGAGTCCGAACAGCCTAAAAATCTAAAAATATTTTTCATGCCAAAGTTTAGTTGATCATAACTTTGTTCAAAATAATCCAATCCGAGTTATTTTGGTACCAATCAACTCCACTCGATAAGGAGCATCGAAATAGCTAATAAAATCATTTTTGAAAATTTTACATAAAAAGTTTAAATTTGCAAAATTTATTTTAATTTTTCAATCAGAGAGTCATATCTCGGTCCATTTATGTGATAGACAAATGATTTTGACGTCATTCGAATCAGATTGGAGAGCTGATTCGAATGATATGTAAAATTCTCACATCAAATCAATAGCCTTGAATCTAGGCCAAATTTTATCCAAAAATTTTTGCTCTAAATTTGATAGAAAATTAATCAAACTTAATTATAAAATTTAGAAAAGATTTTTATATCAACAAGTTTCCTAAAGTGTTGTGAATCCAGGAAAAAAAGAATGATTAATTTTCGTTTAAAATTAAAAAAGTTATAGCCAAAACAAAGTCGGCGCTAAATTTGCCGCACCCTGTAGTAAAAAAGTAACAAACAGCAAGGAAATGAAAATCACTTGCTATAACTAATCTAATTTGATATAAATTATAGGTTCTCCGAAATAATAATTTTATTGAAAATAATAATAATTTTGAATCTTCGATATTGTACAAATGTGAAAATAATTTTAACTTAATTGAAGAAAATATAAAAAAACTACAAAAACAAACTTTTATCAAGTTATTGGACGAAAATTAATTTAATTGGGTATAAAATTGAATTGTTAGGAAAACAAAAAGTTGAATATCCGAAAGAATTAAAAGAAAATATTATTTATATTGGCAATAAAATAAGTAAATAAATTTTTTACCTTGTCTATCTTTTCATTTGACTGAAAAATTTTGCTTAATAATTATAGCTGGAATATTTGAAGTAAATAAACAAAAATGTTTCAATTGTAGAGTTACACAAACAAAACATTGGTATATATACATAAAAGAACAATATTTGTGTCAACCATGTCACGATTTTAAAATATATAATGGCAAAATGAGACCTGAAGGAAGGTTGATTCAAGCTAAAATGGTTTAATTATTCATATTATAATTAACAATGATTCAAAAATATATGAGCAGTTGTAAATGATTCGAGCATATCTATATGACATTATTAGAGATCATACTTATATGTATGTATTTAAATAGGTTCCTAGATAAATATAAGAACTTCATTATGCCGCTTAAGTGAAATGGAAACATAGACAAAAAGAAATAAGTTTAACTGAAGCAACCCTGGTAGAATCAGTCGTCGAAAATTAGAATATACTTAAAAATTTTTTTATCTGAGAACTAGTTCCGACTTCTATTTATATAAATATTTTTTCGTTTCACGAAGGACCGGAAATGTTTTACTTGCGGAGCAACAAAAACATCAAAATGGTACCGTCATTCAAAACCCGAACAATATATATGCCATACCTGTTACATAAAACAACTAAGAATTAAGAAGAAAACAAATAAAAATCAAGATGAACAGGAATCAAATAATTAATATTTAAATGGACTTCTTTAATTTGTAAAATATATATAACATTATGTAAAATATAACCTTAGGTAATTTCAATGAAAAACAAGTTCTTTAATTGTTAACATGATAAATATCAAATAAATAGATTTATTTTCATTATTTTATTTATTTTATAAACGGTAACATTTATATTGACAGAGGGATGCATAAATTTTTTGGAAGGGGTGCATAAATTTTTTGGAAGCATAAATTTTTATAGGACGCATAAATCGCCATGGGACGCATAAACTGGAAAAGAGCCATAAGATGTACAAAGTTGAAAACATTGCGAGTAAATTTTTCATACATTGCACATGGAAGATGTGATCGCCGTTTTGTGTAGGAGAAAACGGGAACAGACCAGATTTGCAAAACATTTGTTTTGATGGTGCAAACTCATTAAATTAACAAAATACTTTTAATTTTTAGATACTCACGGCACAAAGATAAAACACGCTCATAATGGGCAAATAGAAATATTTTTTCTTTGACTCAAATAGGAAAACTATAGAGCCGTACACTTTTTGATTATTTTTTTAATCTAATATGGTATACCGTATTTTTCCCAATAGAAGCGCACGTCCCAATAGAAGCGCAGTCTATGAGGAGGTTGAAAAATAGAAGCGCAGGTCCCATTAGAAGCGCACGTCCTATTATAAGCGCACCCTATGAAATACTTATTTGAGCAATTACCCTGTTATATAGTTACTATTTTAAACAAGTATTATTCATTTACATTTAGATTAAGAATTTACACTTTATTATAAAAAATGGATTCTAATTTTGGTTCGGAAATTGAGTTTTAGGTAATGTAACCGGCGCTATGTTCAAGTAATGTAACCGGTGTTATACTCGAAAACGCAAATCTTATTCTATCGATAAATTTTTCCAATCTTCCCTTTGTACTACTTTCACGTAAACGACCTGATCCCTCTCTTGACGAATGATTTAAAGTTTTTTGAGTTACATATAATTGGGGAAAAATTTATTTCCATCTTGCCTAGGAGATGGAGTGGAAAAAGCTGGATGGATGATGCCCTCACAATCGAATATTTGAGAGCAATTATAGGGCAATCATTGTTCTCACAACGCTTGCTTATTTAGGTCCACGACCATGAAATTTTATTTGGGATGGATAGTTGAAGCTTGAGATGTGATTTCAAAGGAAAATGTTGCAAAAAGTTTTTGGGTTTGTGGAATTTGAATTCCAGGTGACGGTTCCGAAAGTGATGAAATACATTGTTTTAGACCAGATGGTCAGGCTTTATTACATCAAGCTTGTGAGGATAAAAAAATTCAGAAAGTTAGGTAGAAATTGATCTTAATGAAGATAATGAAAAATATTTGTATTCTATAGAGATTTAATATTTGTTTTAAATTTCTATAATGTTATAAAAATTAATTCGCATAGGAGTTGAAAAATACAAGCGCACGTCCCATTTGAAGCGCACGTCCCAATAGAAGCGCAGTCTACGAGGAAGTTGAAAAATAGAAGCACATGCGCTTCTATTGGGAAAAACGGTAAATGTTATTTTTTAATTTTCGATATTTTTTAAATTAATTCCGTGGGACGCATAAATTATTTTTGAGACGCAATGTTATTTATGGGACGCATGAACTTTTATGGGACACACAAATTCTCATGGGACGCATGAACTGGACAAGTGTCAAATTTTTTTAAGCCACAAGAATGCCCACAAAATTTGCTACAGAAAACACTTGGTCCTATCCTTGAGTAAAAATCCTGCATTAGACTAATAAACAGGGCTTTAAAAACTGGCATCTAGTACAAAATTGCAAATACAGATTAATAAGTTTTTATGAAAAAATTAATTTGATAATAAAAAATTTAAAAACATCACAACCCGAAATACTTTATGCAAAATTTAAATAAAAATATCAGTTAAATATCGCTTACAAATTGAATAATAATACTAGAAATCATGAAATCAGGGAGGTTGCAAACATATTTTTAAAAAGCGGAAACTGCAGTTGAAAAAGCAACATCCCTGATTGGAGGGCATAAAAAATGAATTTATCATACAGTCGAACTTTACCATAAATACCAGGGGTGTGTCAGCTTTGCCTTACTCGCTTCGCCTTTTTTGGCTTTTCGCCATCAATTTCTAAATTGATATTAGCATTTATAGTTACGCTTTTTAAAATATGTTTGGCACACTCCTGATAAATATCCACAATAACAGATCACCTGTTGTTTACATTTTGAATTTAAAAAATAATATAATACATAAAATTTTTGTGTAAACAAAAGTAGTGGGCCCTTTTTATCGTGTCGTTTCGCTTTCTTTAATTTTGCCTATTGTGTTCGCTTTATAAAATCTGTTTGGGCACACCACTATTGCGTATAAGCAGTAAGATTGGCGGATCCTGTGAAATCTTCGGATATCCGGATCAGATATGCGAACCAACAATTTCGGATATCCGGTCTCTTTTCAGAGCTGGATTTTCGGATCCGCCAACCTTAAGGTGAAGACTTCTCGATTTCACTCTAATCCCTATGCAATTGAATCAGCGAATAAAGGATCAGGGTTTAATGTGGATGTTTTGGAAGCTTTACAACAAAAAAACGTACAGAGCAAGGTTTTCTGTTTTTCTATCTAAAAATTCCACATGGTAATAGAGAGAAATCAAGTAAGCTCGAAATGTTGAATAACACGAAAAAGGACAAACACAAGGTGGTATAAAAAGGACAAACACAAGGTGGTAAAATTCAATGTTACAAAATTTACATACGTTCAAATGTCTCAGACAAAATACCATCCGACCAAAAGACCGCCCCGGAAGCGGGAGTGTCATAGTACGGGGTTTTTGAAATCTTTCGGAGTGGGATACGGGTTGGTGAGCAAAATATTTGTTGGGTTCAAGTTAAGTATAAGTGTAAAAAAGTTTCGTTAACTTGTCTGTTCACGGGATAAAAGTCGGGGCGCAACTCTAATAATTTCTCGTAAAAATTTTGAGTCATGGTCAGGTCTTTATTTTGATCTGTCGGAAGGTGATTTGCCACTCATTCATACAAATCAAATTTCAATTTAGAATAAATGAATACCGAAGAATACTGCACCTACAACCCAAGCAACAAACACCCCAACAAACCAAAACATTAAAATAAAACCGCCACATTCAACCCATTTGATTTCAAAAACATCTCGTTTTTTTCGCAATTTCTTATCGCCATTTTCAAAGCTTTGAAAGCATTTGTTCCCTTCCATGGATAACAATGAATTTTCGCTATCGCCTTTGTGAAAACTAAGCAAAAATGAATTTGAGCATGTTCCTTCATTCAAACTACATTCTAAAAATTTTTGTAACTTTTAGTGTTGGGCATGGGTCCATTACCATAACACTTAATCACCCAAATTCCGGATATCACGTTAATCCGACGGTTCCCCTCTTAATCCAGCGAAATTCCCAGCTATCGCTCAAAATCCGGTTTAATCACTTGATATCCATATTAATCTCTTGATATTTTTGAAAACCAACCTTTTTGTGTTTTTTAACAGTTCGAGGGTGTTAACAGTAGTGTTATTCAACTGCGTTTTTCAGGTATCGGTATCGGTATTTCGGTAAGATATACCGATTTTTCACAAAATCAAACGGTACTATACCACCGGTATTTTACCTGTAAAATACCGATACCGAAAATACCGCGGTATTTTCGGTATTTTTTTGAAAACTCAAATGATCAAATTTATTACATGTAATACTGATAAAAAAAGGTGAGTGGCAAACGAGGAATTCCAAAACACGGAACAGAGAAAAATATGAACTACAAAACGCTCTTACCAAATCACGATCCATGTGACTCTAGATCCGGGTTGAAAATTAATGGATAATATTATTTCGGGATTTGTGTAGATTAAGGGGATATCGAGTGGAGCTGGATATCAAGGTATTAAGCGGGTGGGGCTGATTATGGCGAAATTTGCATGCATTAAGAGCGAAATCTGGGAAATTCGGGGGATTAATTGGGATATCGTCAGACCACCTAATTCAATTCAAACCCTCAGATATACACATAAGTCTTTCTTTTCAGCGCCTCAAACGGAAATTTTGAGGATTTTGTAGGACCAAAAAACCAGATTTCTTTCCTTTTCATTAACGCTGGCGAAAATTTGGATATTTGGCTACTAAACTGATAAAAATAAAAAATTGGGCTCTAAAATTACAGGCGCGGAGAATAATGGGTGTTGGAAGCTAGTAAATGCATTAAGCTAATATGATAGAGATGTCCGAGACTCTTGGTCTTGGTCTTGGAACCAAGACTTTTCTTGGTTTTTTTTCGGTCTTGGTCTTGGTCTTGGTCTTGGGGTGTTTGTCTTGGTCTTGTCTTGGTTTTATTTTTTGGTCTTGGTTTTTTGGCCTTTTTGGACCTAGTGCTTGGCCATCCAAAATCCTCAAAATTTTCGCCTGCGGCGCAGAAAATGGAAGAAATCTGGCTTCTTGAGCTCCAAAATTCAAAAAATTTTCGCCTGCGGCGCTGAAAATGTGAATTTTTTTGGCCTACGGCCTTCCAAAATTTTCAAAATTTTTGCCTGCGGCGCAGGAAAAGGAAGATTTTTGGCTTCTTTGCTTTCATAATCCTCAAAATTTTCGCCTGCGGCGCTAAATCCCACGGCTATCCCTCTTAATCTTTTGATATCACTAATATCCCGTTAATCCACCCAAACCCTCTGAAATAATAACCTATTTTATTGATTTTCCAGAATAAATTCCCCGAAATTCTTTGAATTTCGCATAAATTTTTCGAAATTATAGATAATTGTGCTGAAGTTGACTGTGATCGTATCAAAATAACAAAAAATAAACCAAAAATTTGACCTATGGGATTTAAAAATTTGGTCTTGATTTTTGGTCTTGAGTCTTGGAGTTTTGGTCTTGGTCTTGTGTCTTGGTCTTGGAAAAAATTTTGTCTTGGGTCTTGAGTCTTGAGTCTTGGAAAAATTTTGGTCTCGGACATCTCTATAATATGAAATGCGTGACAACGAATAGGAAAACGGCCAAATTTTCTCATGCTTAATCTTGTAAAATTAATTTACTTTTCGAAACTCCAATAAATATCATCAACAATCTTCTCATTTATTGTTTCTAGAATGTGTACGATAAAGGAAACTTTTCCCTTGTTTTCCTTTAAGGTATCAAACATTTTCGATTTAATTTCTATGCTGCCGTTATTTTGAATAATTTTTATTTGAACATTAGATTCATCTGTTTTTAATATATCTGTAAATATTTCAACATTAGTTCCGTAATTTTTGAGAAAATTGTAGTAATCCATTACTAGCAAAGCATTTCCTAAAAATTCGGATATATTAAAAATAAATTTAGTTGAATATTTATCTTATCTCGGGATTCTTCAAGCCTACAGTAAATGTTAGAATATTAAGAAAATATATTCGTTATTATTTAAATTATCATGACCAAAATGGTAGTTTAATAAAATCCCTTGATATCCCTACCAATTCCCAAAACACAATATGCTCCCTCTAAATGTATCAATATTTACATTAATCCTCCGATATCTCCAACTTAAAGGCATATCTAAGATGAAAGATAAATTGAGTGAGTACTTGATGGGTTTTTGGACAAGGATTTTTCGTGAAGAGACTTTGTTTGAGATGAATTTTATTGAATTTTAAAAAAATTGTTTCTTAATTTTTGGTAAAAAATTTTAGTTTTTGGAAAAACTAGACATCGAAAAAATAGTCCCCCCTCCAAAATAAGCCCCCTCTGGAGGTCGATCGAAAAAAAAAGCCCCGGGGTTTATTTTAGAGGATTTACGGTATATATTCGTTATTATTTAAATTATCATGACCAAAATGGTAGTTTAATAAGTATAGACAGTCTTGGTGACAACAAATGTACACCTTATTAATGTTCGCACGGGGATCATAGCTGGTTCAGTCCCAATGTGTGGAAATAGTTTTTGGTATTAAAAGAGATATCATGGGTTCTGAATGAATTTATATATCAATCTATTCTAACAGATTTATTTAACAAAAGAGATGAATCTTGGTATATGAGAGAATCATATACCTATATTTAAAAGTTGTTTGAGCGCGTGTTTAAAGACATTGTCTTCTATCTCAATGTTTTCTATTGTTTTAAGAAGTCCATTCTTATCCTCAGGCTTCATATTATCAGTTACAGATTCCCCATCAACCCGTTTAGATAACATTAATATGTGTATCATTTCATTTGCCACAACATTTCTGTATGTTTGCGACGCTTTTTTAAATCCTTCCAATGAACATTTCATACGAAAAACTAACAAATTGTCTATTTTATCGTTATTCTCCAATAATTGCATATAGTCGCTAAGACTCAGTTTCTCCAAACAATTATGCTCATTAAATAACGATTTTAAAGGTTTGTACATACGCTCCAACATCTTGGGCTTAATAATTACAAATTGTTTTAATTATTATAATGATTATTTTAAAATATAGCGGTCTTGGCTTAAAATATAGCGGTCGTAGCCTTAGTTAGCTTTCCAGTTAATATGGTGTATAATGCCACTAAAGTATAAAATTCACTATACGCGTCAGTCTAATAGTTGGATCATACAAGCGCGGCTAGTCACTGATCTATATCCGCTGTTCCATCCTTAATCCCTTCGACTACATTGTTAAACTTCTACTTCGGATAAACTGTTATGCCAGTGCTCGTCGAATTAGGCAAATCTCGGACAATCCTCGAACATAACAGTTAATTTAGAAAGGCACACGTCCGCAAATGTTCGTCCGCACTTTTTTTCCTTTTCCTTCACCTTCCTTCTCCTCTCTCAGGGATTAGAAATGGTCAAGTTTTAATAAACCACAATTTTTCTTGTTTTCTCCTTCTTTTCTCCTCTCATTTTGACTAACTTGTCAAGATTAGAGGTCAAGAATTTGGCACCCTTTACTTTTTTCTCCGTGGTCGAAACAGAACAAGTATGGCATCATTCGAAAGAGTTCTGAAAGATTAGTCGAGTTAGTGGTGGCTGAAGTTGGAACCGAGATATGACTCGAAATGGTCAAAAACCATAGGGGAGTAAAACCATAGTATTAGTTAGATTTATTCGATGATTGAACAAAATTATGACCAACTGAATTTTCGTTGCAATAACCTCCGAAATAATTTTTAAACATTGTTTTATTTTTACTTGACCATTTTAATCAAAATGAGAGGAGAAAAGAAGGAGAAGACAAAGAAAATTGGGGTTTATTAATACTTGACCATTACTAATCCATGTGAAAGGAGAAGGAAAAGGAAAAAAAGTGCGGACAAACATTTGCGGACGTGTGGGCATATAAACGCATAGTACCAAAAAAATAAATTGCATGAGTAATTATTATTCAATCTGTACTGCTTAAGGAGGTATTAATATAGCATGTATTTTAGGGTTTAAAACCCGCTAACTGAACTCGCTGACCACTGAATTTTAGTTCAACTCATTTTTTTGAAACAATTAAAATAATTAGCTGGAAACTCCTCCCATTCTTCCCTTGTTTTTAATAGAGTTGGACAAAACGATACTGGTATAGGCCAACCCGAGACCGAGATTGACCGATACTCAAGTACCCGATACTGAAATCGATAGTCCCATTTTGAGCCGAGACCGATACCGAGAAACAACTCTGTCCGAGACTAACAGAAATTTTTATTTTATGTCAAAAAATACGTGTAAAAATAATTTATGAATTATTATTATTATTATTTATTTATTATTATTCATTATTCTACAGCGGCGCTGAAAAAAGAAGGAGTTATCTAATTTTTCGAGGAGGTATCAACCCGATAAGTAATGTCATTCAAGTTAGCGATTAGAATTAATTAAAATATATTCGGGGGATTAACAAGATCTATGTAGAGTGCAAAGAAGGCAACCGGTCGAATAAGAGAAACATCTAGCGCTAAAAGGATTGGAGGAGATTCAAAGGATGCTAGCATAAACTTTGATATCTCTTCTCCTCTTATATAACATATTTCTTCACTTTTTAGTGACCCAGGCGAAAATTCTGAGAATATTGGAGGACAAGAAGCCAGATTTCTTCGGTTTTCAGCGCCTCAGGCGAAAATTTTGAAATTTTTGAAAACTACGAGCCTAGATTTCTTCCAAAAAAGTCCATAAATATATCTTAAATATAAAATTTATAACACTTTGCCAAATTACTTTGGACAATATTGAGGATTTTGTTTCTTTTAGTCAGTATCGTTATTCGCCGAGAAA